TAAATTTTTGGCTTAGTCGATTAAAGAAGGACAAATTGGTAGATAGTTTTCAATCAGGGGCAAAATAGTTATTAAATAATTAATTAAGGACAAAATGGTTAAAAAACCTCTTAGTGCTGCTTGTTCATGTATTCTATATTTAATATAATTTAAATATATTATGATATGAATTAATTAAAATTAAAAAAATAAATACACATATAATTTATTAGTCCGAAATCAAATTGAAGCTCGGCTGGACCGATTATTATGGCACATTGGTGCTACTATTATGAGAGTAGCAGGGTTGATTATTTGCAGAGAATTCCTTATAATGAAATGAACTATGTTGATTAAATAGCCATCCCGACACGCAAAGTTATATGATGGTTAGAAAGTTAATGTGTGTTCTGTCGGCCCTTTTAAGTCTAATAAGTTGGGCTTAATAGCCGGTATTTAAAACTTTCTTGAGGATATTTTATGACGAGCTATGAAGGCTCGTCACATGAGATTGCCGTTATTTTTGTATTGCTGCTCATTGTATATTTATAGTCAGCGCAGCACATCTTGCAGCAGAAGCAAGACTTGACACAGGTGATACAACTCTAGTCTCCCATTCATCGTTATCTCTCCCATGCTTGGAGAATAATAATATAATATCTCCTCTTTAAATACCTCCTTCTCTTATTGAAGGGACATCATTATCTATTCTATTCATAAGTAACGCTAATAAATAAATTTCGGGTGGTTGGCTCGGTTCGTGAAAGTATGAGCTTATATGCTTAAAACTAGTTGTTGAAATCAAGCTTGAACTTATATAAAAGCTCGTTTAATAAAAAAACATCATGTTTCAATTCAAAAGCTCGGCCTTAAAGCCTTTCAAGTTGGCTTAGTATATTAAATTTTAATTTTATTTTATATTTTTTATACTACTTGTAATAGTCTCCTCTCTCTCAATTCATTTCACTCCATTTTATTAGTTAAACAAATTTTTTGAATGATTTTGTTATATATTATGTTGTTTGTATATACATTAAATTTATGAATATTTATGGAGTTACTTGTACTGTTAATTGTACATTTTGTTTGCATAAATTTTTGTTGTCTTATTTTTCTTAAACAAGCTAAACCAGGTTTTCATTTTTTATAAATAAGTCAGACCACGTACCGATAATTATATAATTATATAATTATATTCATAACAGGTAATATGTTTGATCAGGCTGTCACATTAAACACAAGCTTAACATTTTAAGATCAAAGCCTGACTCGGCTCGACACGTTAACACCCCTATCCATTCATGAGTTCTTATTGTGCAAAAATGTATAACCACTGTAGCCATTTACACACACCCCTTTTGAGATATAGCACCCAAAAAAACTCTAATAAAGTCTTGATCTTTATCATTGCTACTAAAAATCCCATTGATATACTTTATCCTTGAGGGATATATCTGTGATTCTGGCATACACAAATAGTTAAATGTGAAAATGCTATGATGTGCTCTATGTTAAGAAACATGAGCCTACATTTCGTTAAGTCAATCACTTCTGTTTAATCATCCCAAATGCTGGACCAAGTTGGGGAATGAATCACGAGGAAGGTTATATTTATAACCTATTTTCGTTTACAACATCTTATAATCATATCTTAACCGTTGATTTCTGTCAATCAACGGTTATTATTTTCGCAAATCAAATTCATTAATTAATTATTAATTCACAATAAATGATAGCGAAAATCAACAGTCAAGAGATGATTGTGAGAAGTTGTCAATAAAATAGGTTGTAAGTATAACCTAACCCTTATTTTATAATTTAAATTTAATCATAAACTTTGTCAGCTTTTTTTTCTTATCTGACACCATAAAATTTGATTGTTGTTTAAAATTTTCAATTTATCCTTTTAATATTTTTTTTTATATTTGAATTATAATAATCTTATTAACCGGTCGACACATGACATTATAATATAATTTTTATTATATATATATATATATATATATTTTACCCAATGTATGATCAACTGATAGTCGAAGACTAATTCTTTCGAGGCGAGAGATCACGTGAAGTGAGTAAATTTCTCCCAATAAAGCATTTTTCATACACACGATTAGATATCGAACTCATGTCAGCAAGTTTAAAGGACCCAACTATTTACCAACTGTACCGAGCTTAAGGTACCCACTTATATATTCTTTTGAGTGGAATAAAGTTGGGATAACGAATTATTCCTTTATTTCTCTTTTTATTTTATGAACAAAATTTTGTAACCTAATTAGGTGGGTACAAAAAAATTAGAGATTTATTTTGTTGCTTGATTGCTTTTAACTATACTATTAATACATTCGAATAAAATATAATTTGTTATCATTGAAAGTGATTCTGAAGTAGTAATCACGTGGCTCACCCAGAGAGAAGAGCCAGCCTGTGAGTCTCATATTGTGACTCGTATACGACAATGTATGGATAAAAATGTCAGTGAAGATAAATCACACATATAGAGAAGAGAATTATTGTGCAGATTGGCTCTCTAATCTCCCCTTTGAAAATCCAGATCAAAAAGGAGTATTGTTCTTTTTCAGACTCCCTTTGGAAATTTATTTACTGTATTTAGCTGATTTAAGTGGTTTGACTAGACATCGTTGTATTTATTCCTTTTAGCCTGTTTGGGGTCATACCCCATCTAGGATATATATATATATATAATCTGTTTCTATGTATTGTGTTTTCTGTTATTTTTTAACAAATCAAATACACCTGGAATTTATACTTCTAGAATAAAATTATTTTTTACATGATTGAATTTTTTTAAAATTTAAATTAAATTAAATTTTAAATATTTAATTTATGATAAAAAAATTTAAAAAATAATGATAAATTAATTATTCTTATTTTTAAGTCAACATTCAATTTAAGTATTTATTACATCAGGGGATAAAAAATTATTATTTAATTTTAAAATTTTAATAAAACTTTCCTAGTGCGAATTTTCAGGATGATCTCTTTTTCTTTTTACGCTCTGGACAAAATTTTATAACCCAATTCAGTGAGCAACAAAAAAATTTGAAATTTGTGTCGAGTTGCGTTTAATTATTATTATTTTTTTGTAAATAAAGAGGGGCTAGGCCCAGTTGCGTTTAATTATTCTCTTTGAACAATTGAGTAGATTCAGTAGAGTATAAATTTTATTATATGTTATGTTTTTCCTTTTGTTTTAACAAATCAAATACACCTTAAATTCATACTTATAGAATAAAGTAACGTGATTAGTTAATTAAATTTATTTTTTATACTTTTTAATTTTTAAAATTTAATTTAAATTTAATTTAAATTATAAATAATTTAAATTCACGTAAGTGTCAAAATAATTTTCAAAATTAATAGTTAATTACTTAATCTTGTTTTTTTAAATTTAAATTAATTTGGATAATATTATAAGGGAAAAACATATATCCTTTTAAAGGATATAAGTTTATATCCTTTTAGATCTTAACCGTTGATTTCCGTCCATCAACGGTTATAATCTATTAGGCCAAACTTAATGGGCCAAATTTATTATTAATTAATTAATAATTTTAATTCAATAAATTATAACCGTTGATGGACGAAAATCAACGTTTAAAATCTAAAAGAATATAAGTTTATATCTTTGAAAAATAGATGTTATTCCCTTATTATAAACTTAAATTATACAAACAATATATTTTCCTATAACTTGTTACAACTATTCAGTTATCTTTGAACAAAAGTCAAGTCAATAACTTTCATTAAATGTTCTTTGTAAGTTGTAATTGTTAATTTTATTTTGACTAAGAAAAATGTTACAAGAGGATGTAAGTAAATTCTCTCATTATTATATTAATAAGGGAGATTATAGTTATTATCTTTTTTTTTTATTGTCTCTTACTATCAAATTTTTACCATTGATTTTCATTAATCTAACGGTTATAATTTATTAAAAATTAATAATTAATTAATAAGTATGACCTAAGAAATTACAATAATTAGATTGACGAAAATTAACAGTTAAGATTTAATAGTAAAAGATAATAAGAAAAAGAGGCGGTAATTATAACCTCCCATTATATTAATAGAGATAATTTTATCTCCTACACACAATGTTATTAATCCCGGTCCGGTTAGGTTATCGAATCGGTCGAGGTACTGGGTCACTGGTTCAACCAGATGACCTGGTAAATATATGCAAATCTATAATTTATATTAAAAAAATCTATAAATATACTTAAATACATGTAAAAAAATTCCAATTTCAAATATTTTAATATGAAAAATAATAAATTACATATCATTGTCTAATAAAAGAGTAATCAAACATATAATATTTGTTATACTGATGTTTCAGTTTCAGTAAATGACATCTCTAATTATAAATCAAATCAAGATTCTCTGTGTATTGTATAACCAAGATAATACTAGTGTTGTAGGTACATAATCTATATAAGTTAAAAAGCTAGAAATCACTTAAATATTTCAAAAGAAAACAAATCATTTATGTTTGAGAGTTAAAAAAAGGAAGACATCAATTGATGAGAATAAATTAGTTTTTTTTTTTAAACCGGGTCAGGTCATCGTTTTTTACAAAAATCGGTCAGGTCTCATCGATTCTGTAACATGATTGGTCCAATATGAAAATCGGACCAGTTCACCGGTTGTTTGGTCGACCCGGCTGGATCGATCCGATTTTTATAACATTGCCTACACATGTATAAAAATATGTGAGACTCATATTTTTTTTACATAATCTCACGTGAGTCTTACATATTTTTATATGTACGTGATAATTTTATTTTTTATAACACGAGAAACATTTATTCCAAAAATTAATTAAAACTTTCTTAGTTCGAATATTCCATGTGGCTACATCCTGAATAAAATAATTTTTATTTTCTTTATATTTTTTTAACAGATTCAGTGAGGTGGAGGTGAAGACGCAAGAGGAACAGACAGACAAGACAAATAATAACGTGAAGGTAAGACTAAAGAGAAACAACGGGGAAGTGAAGTGTTTGTGTGGGAGGAGAGAATGCAGACAGAAGAAAGCTAGCTACACATGATGCCATCACCCTCACTATACTAAAACTCTCAAATCCCCAAAACACACAAAAACAAAAAAAACGTTTCTCCCTTCCACACTGTCGACGACGTAACCTCATTCAGATTCAACTTTCAAATTGAATTTGAATTCGAAAAGAAAAAAAGCGAATTTGCGTGTGTACTATACAGATAAAGATAAACCTGTCACTTTTTTCTTCTTTTCCTTTGTGAATCTGTTGTGACGGTATATCAATATCAATATTTATATACCGTTTTTTCTCCCTCAGATCTGGTCTCTGTATATTGTTCCTTTTCTCGTATATATACACATACACCACACACCACACACCACACAAGTTGAATTAACCGCAATTTGTTTTGGAACCCTACGAAAATTGAAGAAGATGGAGAGCGAAAAGAAATCGTCATCGATTTCTGATGTGGGAGCATGGGCTATGAACGTTGTTAGCTCCGTTGGAATTATCATGGCTAACAAACAGCTTATGTCCAACAATGGCTATTCTTTCACCTTCGGTTATTCTCTTCCTTTTAATCTAAATCCAATTTTTTTTTTTTTTTTAATGTTTGAATCTAAGATTAATAGATCTCTAACTTCTCCTCCTGCATTCTTTAGATTCTGTTAGATCTCTCAGCTTCCTGTAAATGTAGCTATTTATTTCGTTCTGGATCTAGTATTATCTTTAGCCAGATCCAAATTTTCAAACTGTTCTCTGATTTACTATTTTAAAAATGCATCTAGTTTATTTTGTTGCGGTTACAATCTGCTGTTGTTATTAAATGCAAGAATTTTTGTTCATGGTTACTTGTATTTTTTTATTTATTTAATTTTTTTTTTTTTTTGCAGCCACTACGTTAACTGGGTTCCACTTTGCTGTAACTGCTTTGGTGGGTCTTGTGTCAAATGCTACTGGTTATTCTGCGTCGAAGCATGTTCCTATGTGGGAGCTTCTTTGGTTCTCAGTGGTTGCCAATATGTCTATCACAGGGATGAACCTCAGCCTCATGCTTAACTCTGTTGGATTCTACCAAGTACGGTTTTCTGATGAGCATTTATGTCTATCGATCTCTTTCCTTCTCCTTTTTTTTTTTGCGTTTTTAGTTAATTGTTTCATCCTTCTGATTTTGGCGTGTATTCGCTTCCCTTTTAAACGTATATCTTTCTGTCAAATTCACACCCGGGTAATTATGTGTACCTAATCTACACTCATGTTATGTGCGCATCACAATGATTTGCATGTGTATGATTAATTGTATCGTGAATTAAGGAGCGCTAAATAGGAGAGGAAAGGAAGATAAAAGGAGGAGGGAAAAAATAGGAGGTAGGCTCTCGGTTAGAACATAAGTGAGGGTCAGGGATTCCAATTCCGTTTAGTTATGAGAGACAGAGAGGAAACATTCTTTGTAATTCTTCTATCTCTACCTACAGGATTTGATTCTGATCCTAAGGGAGAGACTATATCAATAAAATTCCGTTCCTCTATTAATTTTCTTGCAATCTTGAACCAGTTTCCATGAGCTGGTATCAGAGCTCTCAAGATTTGGGAGTTGTACAAGATTTGGTCAAGAAAGCATGGCAGAAATGGAGGAGTTGCAAAATGTTGGCTATAAGAAGTTTCCAAATGAGAGTAAGCAACCAGAGATTTTGCTACTCAATGGAAATCGTGCGTATGGTTGGGTGATCGTGGTGGTGCAACACTTTGATGCAAGGGAATTATTAGCATATGCTTGTTTTGCTATTAGTCCTTCAACCAAGGGAAGGCAATTGGAGGAGAGGTATTCTTCTGGACTGGACTATTGGGCCTCACATCTGGCCTAATATCCACTCTCTACTACAGTACTAAACATCACCATCCCAAAATATCTCCACTGTGATGTCAAATAATCACTTTTTGGTGTGGTTGCCCCACGTTCAAGACACACCTCATGCCTGCAGAGTAACCATCTTCCCGTAGACAATCTGGAAAATTCTCTTGTAAAACACATGTCCCCCACCATTGCAAGGGACTTTTCACCCGCTAATATGAAACTTGGGAGTCTCACCCCAAAAACTAATTTGTAAGGTAGGAAAGCCCAAAGTTCTTATAAACCCCACACCAGTACCTAGGGGTGTCAAAATGGGTTGACACGACACGAATTCGACACGACATGAATACATCAACATTAACACGACACGAATTTTTATTCGTGTCAAAATCTTCAACACTGACACGACACGATTTTTTTGCGGGTTGACACGACACGACACGAATAACACGCAAAATAGGGGTCAAAACGGTAATTGACAAAAAAATTTAAAAAAATGGATCGAAATTAAAAAAATAATAATAAAAAATTAAAAATAAAATAATTTAAAAAAATACAGGTCGACACGAACACGAATACATCAACACGAACACGACACGAATTTTTTACGTGTCATTTTTTCCAACACGACACTAATTTTTTTGCGGGTCAACCCGAACACGAATTTTCGTGTCGTGTCGCGGGTCGACCCGCGTGTCAAAACCTATATTGACACCCCTACCAGTACCTTATGTTTCCGATGTGGTACTCCAAGTCCGATACCTTGCAATTGGATCGTAATATCCCACCATGCTCTTCAGCCCTAGCGCACACGCGGCTTGGCTTGGTGCTAGTTTTTTTTTTACTAGCCCTTGGTGAACATTGCAATGCCATTGTCACCCGCCGTGCGCTTAATTGCAACTGAGAGACATAGTGAAAGCTCTGATACCAATTGATATGAATCAAAGATCAAGAATAGGGAGAAATTTGAGAATAACCAACAACTTGTATTAATTCACTCCAGCATTACAAACATCCATAATAGAATACATTTTGTTGTTCACAAATTGGAAAAGAAAGGGAAATTACAACCCCAAAACAGGAAAATAAATGACAGTAAATGGAGTTAACAATAAGGAAATAAACGATAGCTCAGGACTATTTGAGTAGCTCTGAATTCTCCCAAGTTCCAGCCTAGTCCCCGTCCCAGTGTGCTCTTCTCAATCATTTTCCCCTCTATTTAAGAAACCAGCCACTTGTGTCGTGTGTTTGGTGGTACTCCCTCCTCCATCGTGTGTAACAGAAAGGCCCATGTTCTGTATATTCCCTCCCAATGGTTTTGCTGCTGAGTCAGCATTTGAATTGTTGCTGATATTATTTTTTATACCGACATTGCCCCTAAACCTCTTTCTAGAATAAACCTTAAGGGGTGAAGATGTATCAACCCCCTGCTTGCTAAAACTGTGCTGCACTCTCCACTCACCCAGCTCTCTCCAGGCCTTCACAAACCACCCTCCTTCCGCTGTATACACCGCAAAAACATCCATCACCATCGCTTGACGGCATACTTCGAGCTCTGGTTCCTCCATTTCAGTACCTCTAAATTGGTTTATATAACAACTAACAAGCTTTTGTAACCGGGCTGCACATCTCCTTGTACCTTAGTTCGGATATACTACTGCAAAGATGAACCATGTGCTTCCTGACCCTGCTGCTGTTAGCCGTAAAAAAAGAGGATTTCAGTGAATTGGGAACTATATTTGAGTTTCAAGCAATGTGACCCTAGTGGGAGTTATTTTGATGTCCATGATACATCTTGGCCTTTCACCCTTGAGGACAAGATGAAACTTTTAGAGGGGATTATTGTTAGAAACCCCTAATTAGGAACACATATGCTAGAAGAAATAATGATGGACGCAAAGAGCCAAGTGGGCCAAGCTCTATTAGTTAGGCCTTGCTAGTTACAATTGTTAGAGTTAGTTAGTTGAATAAGGGAAGGAAAGGAAGTGTAAAAGGAGGAGGGAAAAATAGGAGAGGTAGGTTTTCAGTTAGAAGTTAGAACAGTAGGGCCGGGGATTCCAATTCCTTGGAGTTATGAGAGACAGGGAGGGAACTTTCCTTGAAATTCTTCTACCTCTACCTAGAAGACTTTATTCTGATCCTAAGGGAGAGTACATCAGTAAAGTTTAATTTCTTAAATTTCTTGCAATCTTAAACCAGTTTCCGTCAAGGTGCTGGTATATTTTAAATTTTGATATACCTTCCAGGTTGTTTAAAGAGCTACAATGAGAGATTTAAAGTCTATATTGTTTTCCATTTGATCGTCTGCAACTGTGATTGGTAATGTCAACCTTCGAAGTATTAGCACTTGAAAAGATACTTATTGTTATATCTAAGGAATACCATTGCAAGTTAAGTCCAAAAATTGATTCTAGTCTAAATTTTACATCCTGAAAAGAACTTCTGACAACTTATATAGGCATTGGATGTTAGCTAAGGCATTTTGTCAATGTATGCTCTCAGAAATACGTTTGCAAGCTTTAGCAAGACTACAATCCTTATTATCTTGTATTTTCAAATTGTGCTCAACTCTTCGTTTTAGAAATATTCGTTGTAGTTACTATTATATCTCATTTTTTAAATATTGAGATTTGCAGCACTCTCAAATTGTTCAGACTCTCCATTCACATGACTCAGCTTTTACCCCCCATGTGTTCTAACCTCTAAATGCACCTTCTCGTGTTTTAATTTTGAATTTTCATTCCCTCCATTTTTAAGGTTTTAATTTTATCATTGTATATGTGAACAGATATCAAAACTAAGCATGATTCCAGTGGTTTGTGTGATGGAGTGGATCCTTCACAACAAGCAATACTCAAAGGAAGTGAAAATGTCAGTCATGGTTGTGGTTATTGGTGTTGGTGTTTGCACTGTAACTGATGTGAAAGTTAACCTCAAAGGTTTCGTGTGTGCCTCTGTAGCAGTTTTATCAACATCTTTACAGCAAATTGTAAGTATCATTACCGTTTCTGCTCCACTGTGCAGGCAATATGGAGCTTATGTCAATTATTGTTGTGATTTCATTTTCTCATGTCATTTTATACATGACTGTTGTAGCCCAAGGCTCTGTAGCCAGGGTTAAGCCCGGACAATAGAAAAAGTGTCTCCAGCAGTGAAATTTATTTGTATCCTTGGTATATTATGAATTGGAGTAATTAAAGGTGAGTGCTAGATGGAATTTAAGCTGATGTAATATCGTAACTGGAAGCATCATTTTTGTTCTTTTGATCTTGTGTTTTGCCTGTGAGTGGTCGTGTTAGATCAGATAGATTTCATTGTTAAATAGGAGAGTTGAGAACATACTTTCTATTACAAAGGCACTTTTTGTGTTATATGCTGGTAATTATGCTATTTGTGGGATTGATTCTTTTTTGTACCTGATTATTCTTTCCCTTTGTTGTGACAGTCAATTGGTTCTCTTCAAAAGAAATATTCAATTGGATCTTTTGAATTGCTGAGTAAGACTGCACCTATTCAAGCTCTCTCTCTTCTTACTCTTGGTCCATTTATTGATTACTACCTTAGTGGCAAATTGATAACCAACTATAAGATGTCTTCTGGTGTCATCGTAAGTGATCATCCTTTTCCCCTGTTGGATCTAGTTTGTTTCTCTCTGTATTTGTCTTTAATTATACAGAGTGTTGGATGGTTTAATTAATGTCTTCGCAAATCCCTGCAGTTTTTCATTCTTGTTTCATGCTCGCTAGCTGTATTTTGCAATGTGAGCCAGTACCTCTGCATTGGGCGCTTCTCAGCTGTTTCCTTCCAGGTTTTAGGCCACATGAAAACAGTATGTGTTCTGACATTGGGGTGGCTGCTATTCGATTCAGAGCTAACTTTCAAGAATATCATGGGAATGATTCTCGCAGTTGTTGGCATGATAATTTATAGTTGGGCTGTGGAGGTTGAAAAGCAATCAAATGCCAAGATCGCTCATCATGCGAAAAACAGCCTAACAGAAGAAGAAATTAGACTGCTCAAGGTTGGAATAGAAAACAGTGCTTTGATGGATGTTGAACTTGGTGAGGCTAAAGTTTAGATTCACTCGCAGATGGTAAAATTTGACGAGAAAGGATAAAGTCAATTTTTATTTGTATTATTCAATTTGATTTGTTCCTTTTATCTAGTTTTCTGGCAGTAAAACTTGGTGTCTATCTGCTTACGCTAGCACTCATCCATTTTAGAAAATGGGTTCCCGTTCTGCCCTCCATTATCAATGTTTTTTATTTTTTTTCTTGTTTTATTTATGTTATTTATTTAGCTTGCCTGTAGATGATTGCAAGATGAGAACAAAAGCAATATCAGTATCCTGCCATAATTTTTTTCCACTTTCTTTTTAATTTTCGTTATACGAATTTTAGTGCTCAATCTTTGATTAAATGCCTTTGTTAATATATGAATTTAGGTCTGCTTCGTTCGGATACGTTATCTGTGGAAACATTAATCTTCAATTTTTGGGTTCATATTCAATCGTGCGGTATTTGATTTAGATTTTACACATCTTTAAAATTCATATCTCTTCACATTTAGATTATGTGGCAAATTAGAATCTAGTTCTCTAAGAAATGACGTGGGACTAATTATAATACGGTGGTAAATTTTTTGCATATAGTAGGTCATTAAGTCTGGAATTATTATTTGATTATTTTTAGGGTTTTTTGTTGTTTGATAACGAAAAATTTAGGGTCAAGGATGATTGTTTCATTCTTAAGTGAGGATATGATCCTAGAGTCAATGAGTGTTCACAATAAACTTATATATAACACATCAGCGGACTTACAAGATATCTACCTCAATTAACTTTGTTGACACATTATGTATTTATCAATTGTATCAGTTATTGTTGGCTTTAGAGTTTAATTTTGATAATATGTAAAGGGAAAACATTTTCTCTTTTTAAAGGAAAATTTTTTTCTCCTACTAATGACTCATAACGTAGGTGGGGTTCACAAAATAGTCGAGAGCGAAAATAATTCAAAGTAGGACTCACTTATGCTATGAGTCACTAGTAGGCGAAAAATTTTCTCCTTTAAAAGGAGAAAATGTTTTCCCATATGTAAATATAGAATTTTATTATGTTGTATAATATGTCAAAGTCATTAATTTAAATGGTATAGAAACACGATTGGATGCAACAATAAACTTTATAGTTTTTACAATATATCAAATTAAATTCTCTTTTTTATTCTATTGCTTTGATGTAATTGAATTAAAAAAGGTAATTTATCTATTTTTATATAGGTGGTGAAAATAAATAAGAAGTAATATGAAAATAAATTGAATGTATAATGGACAGTGATAAATAATTTACTATTATAATTATCAGAAAATTGGAACATGGTAATTAACACAATTGTAAAAATATATTATTTGTTTTATACGCATATATATTTATTGGATTTAGTTTTCATCCATTATTAGCGTATTTTTTTAGGGCTTATTGTTTCTCGTATTGTAGGAGATAATTTTTTCTCCTACACATTCATAAAAATATGTGGGGCCCATTATTATTTTTTTCTTTCTCTTTTTTCACATGGGCCCAACATTTTTATGTGTATGTAGGAGATATAATTATCTCCTAAAACATGAAAAACAATAATCCATTTTTTTAATTCATTACTTAATTAGGTGGAAACGCACAATTTAAATTTTGACTATAATTAAACATTACAGTTTGTGAGAGTTATTGTGCAAAAAATGTTAACATTACAGTAAATAAAAATTAAACTCTTATTATTTGGAATACACCATTATTATTTTTTTCTTTCTCTTTTTTCACATGGGCCCAACATTTTTATGTGTATGTAGGAGATATAATTATCTCCTAAAACATGAAAAACAATAATCCATTTTTTTAATTCATTACTTAATTATGTGGAAACGCACAATTTAAATTTTGACTATAATTAAACATTACAGTTTGTGAGAGTTATTGTGCAAAAAATGTTAACATTACAGTAAATAAAAATTAAACTCTTATTATTTGGAATACAAAAGAGAGAAAATAATAATTAAAATGACAAATTTTTTATATTTGGTGAAGATTTTTGTATATTCAAGTTTTTATATTATGCAACGTTTTGGCAGAAAAAAATGTTAGTTAGGATAAGACAAATAAGTTTTACGGAAGACTTATGATTTATGTGATGACAAAAATTAAATTTAAGGTATTATGAATTTAGCATGATTTATTTGTTTTATTTGATTAAAAATATGGGTATTTTTTCATATTGAGTTATGGCTGAAAATATTATATTTTTGCAAAAAATATCGAAAACAAATACTTAAGTATTTTCTGTTTACGTTTGTGATGGAAGTGTTATTCTAAACATTCATATTATTTTAGTATTCATAGGAAAAATATTTATGTTTTAAAGGCAAAAATATTTCTCCAAGCCCAGTTTGTATTTTTGTTTAATAAATAATATTTTATTTTATTTAAATAAAATAATATCTTATTATTTTTAATAAAATAATATCTTATTATTTTTAACAAAATAATATGTTATTATTTTTTAATAAAACAATATCTCATGATTTTTTTAATTTTTCGTAATCTCCTCTGATCTCATTTACCAAACACATTTTTTCTTAAACCTAATTCGTTGCCACCATGCTTTTCTTTCCTTTGCCAAATTTCGCTACTCTTTTGTGTAGTTCTCAACTTTTCATTTATTCCAAATGATTAATCCACTCACCATTGATTCTCAAAGCTTACGCAACTGAGAATAAATTTTTATTCTTTTTATTTGTTTCTCTTTATTTATTAATTGTTTTTTGTTAGAAAATAGAGGCTACGCTGTTATTGAATTGATAACAAGGAATAAACATAACAGTAATATATTTTTATCATCGCAGATGCACCTTCCTTCTTAATTTTTTCATTGTCTTTTGTTCTTCTTCTTTTTTTAATTTTTTTTAATGGTCCATTTCATGAATATTTTATATTTTTTAAGTGGCCAAATCTTATAATATTTTTAAAAGAGGAGAAATATTTTTATTACCAAAAAAATTCACTACCGACCCACTATCTATCTAATCACCATTGGATCAGAGAAAGAGAATGCTGAAAAGTTTGAGAAGAGAGAGAAAATGCTGATTAAATAGATAGTGGATTGGTAGTGAATTTTTTGGTGGTAAAAAAATCTCCCCTCTTTTTAAAATCACACTGGTCATTGGCTAGCAAAACTTGGAAAGTCTATCATTGACCCTCTTATTAAAAAAATGATTAGGCTTATATTTACTCTTCCAATTTCTGCAACTATTGTAACACCCTGTATGCATCCGATTATGTTATCATCAATTATGATATTAAGCGCAGTTACATTCACAACAGTATATTCAAAAATACGGAAAAACTTTTCCTTTTTAATATCGTTCACAATTATTCTCACACTTTATAAAACACTCGTATTAAACATTTTATAAAAATATGATCGTAACTCAAAACTATTGCGGAATCATAAATACTATTGTTTAACATCATATAACGTCTATTTAAAGTTGCTAAGTGGTTCCCATAAACCAACAAATCATAAATACACAATTTGACGTTTTACAACTCGGAGTTACCCTCAGATTTTTCAAAACTGCAGATGGACTACATGTCATAAATTCCCATCTTTTGATAAGATAAACTAGAATCTTCTAGCTTTCCAACGAGGTATCACGCGCCTCAATTGGAGTTCTATAGCTCTGAATACGCTTGCTGTAAGTTAATTCCTTAAAACTATCAACATTGCACTGTCGAGTTCACTAACATCCCTAACTATTTCTGAAACTACAAATGTTCCACTTATCTTTTGCCAACAAATTTTAATATTTTCTAGTAGACACCTCAAATTTCAATTTTATTTATCATAAGCCTAATTTAGGTAAGAAATGATAGAGAGATGAATTTTAAAAAATCATAGGCAGAAGTTGTCACATATAGTGCGGAATAGGACAATCCACAATCAAACTTGAACCGGGCAGTTTCTACAACTCCAAATGACACCAAATTTTATGACAATATAGAGGACATCCAAATGATCAACATTTCTTGGTGCACTTACAACCCACAATATTCATCAATTCATATTATGTCTCTTTACTCAATTTACAATTCCATCTCACATTATCAATTCCTCACATTACCCTTTCATACACAGTATCTCATTTATCATCCTTTATAATTATACATCATCAATATCTAAATAAGCCTAAAGCTCTTCCATCATTTACATCAATATTTACATATACAAGATCTTTCAATGATATAATTAGGGTTACAATAACTAGATAAATACAACTATTACATAAACAGCATAATAATCGAATGACTTAAACAAAAAATCATGAACAAACCTAAGCATGGCAACAACATCACATGCAAGACCAATGTTCATGCACTAAGTCAATGATACAAAATAAGCAACTACTATGTGCATTAATATAGTATCTCAAAATGTCAATTAATCCTCATGCACTCCTGTGTACATGACAAAATACTCTATATGCTTGTATCCCAACTAAGTAGGCTTCTTGCCCAAAGCTCCTCCAGCAACACTAGTGGTACCTGAAATGTGATCCCATAACGTGGGCTGAGATTTGACAATCCCAGTAAACCATGGGTCTTGGAGAGTTACTCCACCCAATGGCCCACTCAAATATGCAAACAGAGATAATATCCATATAGTGCATCATACAATCAACTAGGCACAAATCCGAGAACATCCCTCATGGATATTGTTCAAGGACCCCATCATATAACTGCCGAGACATTCCTAGAGTGTTAACAACTCCAAGACACAACGTTAACCGGAACCCCCACAAAGAGTCCTATCCGACGAAAGCCCCCCCAATTTCTATTGATTAGAGAACAGACAATCAGGCATCACGACCAATCAAGACCCAAAAGCAATCAGGCTTCACAGACAATCAGGCCTCACAAACAATATACATATTGCACATAACATGTTCAATGCATAAGCATACTTTATTAAACATTATCAAAGGTCACAAATTCCAACATCCCCAATGGGCGTGATAGAGCACACAAAGGGATTACCCAAGACACACAAAATTTTACCTGTAAAAAGTTCCTAGCTCAATCCTCTACAATCGGATCTGAAGAAGGTAACCTACAATGATCATACAAATAATGACCATTAATAACTTCTCAAACAAGTTACAAACAATAACTTAACATAGCCTCAATACAAACCCTAGTCCACGATCAAATATGCAAAAAATACCTTCCATGGTGTTTTAATTTCAACTAACCAATTCCATCATTTCAATAACCTTCAACAACACCATGACAATCC